GCCCAATGCCCTGAACCCCTGCGAAGACGTGATGGGCTATCAGTGGCTGAGAATCTCGGTTTGGATAGTGGTCGCCCTGGCGGTCGTTGGTAATGTGGCGGTGCTGACAGTAATACTATCGATTCGGTAAGAGTTACACAATTTCCAGCAGTGGCTGCAGAAGCAGCTAATCTCAAGCCCTATTGCCATTTCAGACCCGAGTCGGCGTCGGTGCCGCGATTTCTCATGTGCCATTTGGCCTTTGCCGACCTCTGCCTGGGGCTCTACCTGCTGCTGGTGGCCTGCATCGATGCCCATTCCATGGGAGAGTTCTTCAACTACGCCTACGACTGGCAATACGGTTGGTTGGTTGGGATGGGGTTTGCCTTCGGCTCTGTTCTCTTATTCTGATTTTGGATTCCTCTCTCTCTCTCTCTCTACTCTATGCCCAGGGGTGGGCTGCAAAGTAGCCGGATTCCTCACGGTTTTCGCCAGTCATTTGTCGGTGTTCACGCTGACCGTGATTACAATAGAGCGATGGCTGGCGATTACACAGGCCATGCACCTGAACCATCGCATCAAGTTGCGCCCGGCGGCGATAATCATGCTGGCCGGCTGGATTTACTCCGTGCTAATGTCCTCGCTGCCATTGTTTGGCATCAGCAATTATTCGTCGACCAGGTGAGAGCAGGCTGGCTCCCCTAGCCCTGCGTAAACTGAATCCTTTGGCGTTTTCCAGCATTTGCTTGCCGATGGAAAACCGCGACGGATACGACACTGCCTACCTTATTGCCATACTCGGGTGCAACGGTGTCGCCTTCTCCATCATAGCCGTGTGCTATGCTCAGATCTATCTATCGCTGGGCCGCGAGACGCGTCACGCACGCCAGAAGAATCCGGGAGAGATGAGCGTGGCCAAGAAAATGGCACTGCTGGTGAGTGAATCGCGGGACCATACCATATACCACCATAATACCACCCACTTGATCTTGTTTTAGGTCTTTACCAACTTTGCCTGCTGGTCGCCCATTGCCTTCTTTGGCCTCACCGCCCTGGGGGGCTATCCGCTGATCAACGTTACCAAATCCAAGATATTACTAGTATTCTTCTATCCATTGAACTCGTGCGCGGATCCCTATCTGTATGCCATACTAACGTCGCAGTATCGCCAGGACCTGTTCACCCTGCTGTCGAAGTGAGTAAAGGCAGCTCCCTTCTGTATCTGTATCTCTATCTTTCATCGGGAATGCCCCCTCCCATTGCAGATTAGGTTTCTGCCGTCAGAGCGCTTTAAAGTACAAGCACAGCACCTCCATCCAGGCCACCTCGCGCTTCACCATCCACGGATCCATCCAGCGGCACGGATCACTCAACTGCAAGATGCAGCAGCCGACGCTCCTGGGCGTGGAGACACAGAGTATGCTGAAGAGCAGCGAGGACTACGTTTAAACTGAAGCTTATGTATTCTGAATACACCTGTTCTTCTACCTGTTTGTGATATATGTATACATTGTAATCTTTTAGCTCTCTCTACACTAGTTGTAGTTCTGTTACGTTACGTTAAGTTTTTTGTTAGCTGTGCCAGTATTGTTGCATCCTCCCATTACCTATTGCAAATATTGTACCCTCTAAGACTAAAGGTTTCTAAGATTAAGGTTCCTTTTAAAGTTATCTGATGCCTAGAGCGGAAAGTATTTCTAAAGTTTTCAATGGATTACCATGGAATATGCTATGCTGTATACGATTGTTGTTGTGCATATTCAAATATATCGTTCAAATGTGACGTTCAATACGATGTTCTCATTAAATATATTGGAAAACGAGCCAGCATTTCCACTGCATTACCCCTGGCCAGCGTTTGATTATCAATAAAAGTTTTACCGCTTGCCGTTTGAAATTGTATCGTCAGGGCTGATATCGATAAGCTGAATAAATGCACAGCGCACTCTGGCGGTTGGTTTAAGCGCAACGCAGCGTTGCCACACCTACGAATAAATGTCTCACTTGAGACGAGGAAAATGTACCAACGGAATTTTGATATGTTGGCCCTAGATCAAGCGGCAAGGGCAGCGGCTCACAGCTTTCCCGCTCGTTTTTGGTCGGCTTCGAGCTATGTCCGGAGCTTTTTTGACGAGATGTTGGCATCCCTGTGGTTCTGTGTCGTCATCAACCAAACAAGTAACGGAAAAATGCAACGTGCTGTGATGCTCTTCGAATTTTTACCTAAATTTGCGCACTGGTTTCAGAAGACTCACACGTTTCTCTATCCAGAGTACGCCTACAAAAAGAGACGAGTAGAAATTGGAGACCACGAGGCCATAGCTGTATTACCAGGATATCTATGCCTTCCACGAGGTGAGTGAAAACAAAGAGATCCCTTTCAGAACTGTCATTCCCATCGTTCTTTTTCTTTAGCTGGAGGAGTGTGAAATCGATGTGAGACTGAGCTCCTTCAAAGGGTGTAGCAGAAGTCCTTGCACCTGCACCATCTATGTATATCTCAAGGATTACCTGCAGAAGATCAACGAATACTTTCGGACAGTGCCAGCCATTGCCTTTGGTATTCAGATGGTAACGAGGTCATTACGTTTACATAGGATATTTTATACCATTTTATATCATCTCAGTACGATGTTCCTTAACTTCAGTTGAATGTAGATGGGATTTGATGGTATTCCCCTCCCATGCAATTACACAATTGTTGTGCGGCAATTTTCCAAGGAAAATACTGTGTTTTTGTTTACGACTCTCCTTCCCGCCTATGCAGCCAGTCCTTACCGGGGTTGGGTCCGCCTCTTCCTGGCGGATCAATCAAGCGAAATCAAGCGTGTTGTATAAATATCTATACGTAGCGCACACACACAGAGGCATACGCGTACGCATATTTGTGCTAGTGCGGCGTTTAAGTTTAGTTCGGTAATTAAAAGCCAAATGCTAATAAAACGAAAATTTATTAGCATTGTCGGCGAGTAAGTATGTCCCAGCCCAGGGAGGGGGCGAGGAGTGTTTGTTGGGCACACAAACTATGTCACTTTGGAGGCGGATTGGATGGCGGATATGCCCGATGTGTGTGTGTGTGCCACAATTGCATATGGAAGGAACTTTCGTCGGAGTCGGAATTGTCGTTGGTCTATACATGTGGGTGTTGAAATCCCTATGGATTTTTAATGTACTTAATGTGAGTGACAGCCGACGGAATGGGCACGATCGATTTTCGCGTCGCGGCGCGCCCCTCCCCGGCCCCTCTGCGGAGGGGGCTGGACACCGACACCGACACCCTATCAAATAAATGTCAACGCAAATCCCCATGCACTCCCACGCACTCACACGTTATCAATTACAGTGTAAACCCATTTATTCCCATCTGCATATATGCAAGCCTATTTTCGATGCTGGTCCAATCCCGGCCCCCCCTCTGCCCTGCCTCTTCTGGGCGGGACCCTTAACTCCATCGAGTGTCGCATCCTTTAAAACCCCCGACAAACACAAAGTAAATTCATAATTAATACATTTGCAAAGAGTGATAAAGAAAGAGAAACGAAATTAACAGGGCTTCTCCAGGCGTACAGTGATCCCTCCACAGAGTACACAGCATACCGGGGAACGGAACCCGTGCTATGACCCAAAGCACGGAACGCACACGAAAGGCAGACAGCAGACGGCGAACGGAGGGGTGGAGCGGTGGCAAGGGGCTGGCAAATTAGCCAAATGCGTTATTTGGCCGACAAGCAGCTCGCTCAGTCGCTCACGGGACGTCCTGGCGTTTGGCCGCAAAAAAGAAATATAACCGGAAAAGACCCCTCTCCGCCGACTGCTGTGTGTGTGCGTGTGTGTGTGGGCGAGTGTTGGCTTTGAAATTGGAAATTTGAAAGGAATTTCCAAAGAAAGCAGGCCATGTGCCAGCAGAACTGATTTACTGGTTAGTTCTCGATGGAACATTGAACGATGCTCTTACAATATTGCCAGCCGAAACAACATCTGGCCATAATCAACTGATAAATTTATCAATTAACTTGTCCTGCTATCAGTCGCGGCCAACAGCTAATCAGTTTGTGTGTATCTGTGTGTGTGGGTGTTTTGTGCAACAAGTCTGTGTGTGTGTGTTTAATCAAATAAATAAGCCAATTAATTGGGGAATGGATTGCATTTAATGAGAGTCGCCCCTCGGGACGTGCTTCAGGAACTTCTGTGTACCTTTCACCTTTGCTCTTAATGGGGCAAAACCCTGCTTGATGCCGAATTTTGATGATGAATCATAGAATGAGCCCGTGTGTCTAGTAATTTCGTTTATGTTCGCACTTAATCCACGGGTCTACTGGCACTTTGATTACTCAGATTTACTCATCTCCCCCGCACCCGTACCCGTACCCGTACCCGTACCGAACCGTGTGTTCTATCCAATATCTTTGCCGTGTCTTTCGCTCTCCGCCACCCACTCTCTTAATCATTTTATATCAGATTTTTCCAAATATTTTCCAAACAAAGACCTGGAAATGTACGCGCCTAAAGAAAACAGCAGCATCACAAAAAGAAATAAAAAAAAAAAATAGAAAAAATTATCAAAAAAGTATAACTCAGGAATTTTGTTCAATGCCGCCCTGTGTTGATGGTTTTGTTGCTATTTGTGTACTTTAATCGACAACAATAAAAAAACTAAAAGAAATGGCAAAGCCGAAGCTGGGAATACCCTAGCGAATGCGGATGCTCTATGGCAGATTGAGATACATTTAAGCATAAGCAGGAGACAGATAGATGGCCTATAGTCCCTCCTTCTGGGCGTTGCAAGCTTCCCTCGAACTTTGCTATGCCTTCTGCAAGGGTATACAAATATTGCGCATACGCTACGTTGACTAGTCCGCTCAGCAGGGGGAGCAACATCTCAGGTTGGACGCGCCGACTGCCGGCGGGCCGACAGCCAACTGTCAGTTTGTAATCAACGCGTGCCAGCGGCAGCTGTGCGTGTGCCTAAGAGCCATTTCGGGAGCCATAACCCCAGGTCCCCCGATTCCGTTCAGATCCGTGACATATAGCCATCGATATCGATAGAAACAAAGTGCAGTTTGGATGTGTGCGTTGTCGGGTTGAACAAACCCATTGTGCCCAACCGTGGGGCCAGAGATTAATTACTTAACCATACGATACGGTACGACACATGTCTGCCTGCGACTAGAGGTGGGAGATAGTTGAGAGAATTGTATCTGAGAGACAGCTTGAGACCGGTGCAGTGCAACCAGTTTGTGTTTATCTACGGGGCGTGGAAGAACCTCGGATCCATCATACATCTGTATGTGCATTGCAGCTATAGTGTCATCCGATCGAAGGTTGCTCTCGGGCTGGCAATAAAACAACCAATTCGTAGGAAATTCCTCTGGCTATGGAATATGGCTCCATGTGTTTTGATTTATTTATTGATTGCCAAACGCTCTTTGAATAAACAGAAGAATAGAAACAGAAACAGATTTTCGGCCCGCATTCACATTCACAATCCCAATCGCAATCCGAATCCGAATCCGTATTGAACTGTAATGGGAATATTAATTGGGGGATCATTTAAATATTATTTTCGGGCCGTGCATGTTCCGCTGCATAATTTATGGGACGCTAATTACTTTGTTTCGTGTGCTGTCCAAGGCCAATTACGCTTACTTATTGCAATTTATGTGGCCGTATGCAGTCCGGCCGTAATTGGAAATTGTGTAAGGCAGCCGTCGCCGGCCACACACTGAGAAACACAGCAGAAGTGTTCCAAATTGACAGAGCGAATAGAACAGACTATAAAGTGATCAGAGAGTCCCCAAGATTCCCAGAGAATCTTCAAGCAAGATGCGGGATAGTGGGTACTCTACCATCAATCATCAATCATCAGCCGATTTCCTATAGAATTCATGAACTTTTACTTGGTGTACTAGCTTTTTCCCTCAGTGTACTGTTTGAATGCAATTCTGGTGCGTTCTCTCACTCGTCTGGCATTTTTCTAACGACGCCACCGAGTCGGACCCAGCCCAGTTTGTGTTGCCAGTTGATTAAGTGAACCCTTTTCCCACGCAGAATCAATTTGTAGATGTCCAATACGTACAACTACACCTTGGAGCACACCACAAAGGAGCGATAGACAGTGTCAGCAGGGAGCACGAAGCACGAAGCACGGAGCAGGGAGCAGGTGGAACCATGACCATGCCACTGAACAGTAGCAGTAGCGGCAGCGACTTGCCAAGTGCAACTGCCGACCCGCATCAGCCTCTGCCTCATCATCATCATCATCAGCAGACCCTGCTGCTCTATTCCGGACTGCTCTCCTCGGCCCTGTCAGTCGCCACCACGGAAGACTCCAGTGTCAGTACGAGTAATGCCTTGGTGCTCATTCAGACGACAACCAGTGCCACGACAGCAGCAGCAGGATTGGGAGGATTGGGATCAGGAGCCACATCCATATCCACGCTCAGGGCTACGGCAACGGCGGCCGGAGTGCTGGGAGTGCCTTCGGTGAACTCCTATTTGGTGAGCATGGCCTGGCCCAAGTCCCTGGCCGTCGCCCTGTTCCTGGTGCTCATCCTCGTCACGGTCGTGGGCAACACTCTGGTCATACTCGCCGTGATGACCACCCGACGGCTGCGCACCGTCACCAACTGCTTCGTGATGAACCTGGCCATAACGGACTGGCTGGTGGGCACCTGTGTGATGCCTCCATCGGTCATCCTCTACATAACAGGTGGGTGGCAGATGATCCCTTTGATTCCCTTTGACAGCCAAGCAAATCCCTTCCTGGAAAAGATTCCACTTCAATAAATGTACAAAATTTACTCTGCAGGCACCTGGCGCTTCGGATGGATACTGTGCGACATATGGATCTCCCTGGACATTCTCCTCTGCACCGGCTCCATCCTTAGCCTGTGCGCCATCAGCCTGGACAGGTGAGTGGTGCTCAGGGGGCTGTTCGTAGAGCTAATTTCTTAATTTGTCGTTGATGACTCATAGTCCATATCCGAAGCCAAAGCCAAAGCCAAAGCCAATGCCATGGCCCAAAGCTATCTCTGTGGGCTAGGGATAGGAGACAAGGTGCAAAAACAGTGCAAAATAATTTATTTGTTGACGTTTTTATTGCCCCTTGACTGTTGCCATTGCCATTGCCACGCCAGCCAGCAGCATACCCTTTGAATGTCCTCCGACACCACAATGGATGAGCAGCAAGGATTGGGTGGGGCTGTCCTTAGTCCACAGTCCACAGTCCACAGTCGACAATCCGTAGTCCATCCGTAGTCCGTTGCTTTTGTTGGAAGTTTCAATTACATTTTAATGGCATTTCCAAGTTTTGTGTGCTGCTTTCTCTCTCTGTTCTCCGCTTTCCGCTCTCCGCTCTGCTCTACTTGGATGGCGATGCCTCACGATTCCTGAGCGACCTGGTCCTGGCATGGCTTGGCCTGGGCTGTGGCTTTATGAACAACAATATGTCTGTTTGGCTTTTGTTTTTTGTTTATTGTACTTTTTCTCAATTTCCTCCATTTGCCGTGCGTTTATTGCCTTGCCGTGCCGGGTGGGCCGGACTGGGCTGGGCGCTCTCTTTCAGGTATCTGGCCGTCACACAACCCTTGACGTACTCGAAGAAGCGTCGCTCCAAGCGCCTGGCCCTGCTCATGATACTGGTCGTATGGATAACGGCCCTGTCAATCACATGTCCGCCGTATTTGGGCTGGTAAGTAATGCTCCCCAATGCCACCCAATGCTCTTTTTACGGCCTGCCTCCTCCGCTGATCTGATGCCTCCGCTGGCTAATGGTATGGATAGATAACGGCCAACAAAGGCCCCAAAATACATGCGCTTATTTATATACAAACGAATTTCCAGCTGCGCCTAAAACATTACGTAATTGCTTCAGCTGTTGTTGTTTTTTCTGCTCTTCTTGCACCCATTACACATTGAAGTTTTAATGAGTTGTTAATGACTTTGTGTGTCGCGCCGCAGTTGCCTCAACTTTTACAGGCCCTGCACAGGCACTCGTATGGTGCATACTCTGAGGCGCCCCAAAATAACCAAAACACATACTTTTGTACAACCCCTGTCCCTTGGTTTCCTTTCCTTATTCCAGTGCAGTTTCACATTAAAGCCACCGGTTAAGCCACAGCTGCGGCACATTAGAAAAACTCTTTAATTTTAACTGGGAAAAAGTGCAATTATGTATAATCAGCAATTCGCACAGCTGCCACCGCAGCATCACTTCGAGAAACAGTTGTAGTCAGAATTTAATGAAACCGAAGGAGAGAGAGAGCTGTTCCCGTTCCGATTGATCGTCTCTGAGCGAGTCGTCGTTGAGCGAGTCGTCTCTCTCTCTCTCCCCGTACGCGCTCTCTCACGAACACTTGAACAGCAAAGAGGCAGCCAGTGAACAGGAACAATCAAGCACCGAAATGGGAGAGGCAGTGGACAGGAACAATCATGCACCGAAATGGGATGGGCAAACGGTAGATCGTAAAGAAGGCAACGGAAGACACTGCGAACAATCTCGTAGTGAATTCTGCACAGAAAACAGACCGAAATACACCGAGAATAATATTAGGAGCCACCAAGTACATATGTTGCTGTTTGTTGTCTAGGATATGGGTAGTAATAGATCTGCTCATCCCACATACTGCCCTCTGCGCTGGGCTCCCTTTAGGTGGATCTAATTTAACAGGGTTTCCCTCATCAGGGCTCTGCTTTCATCCCAGCTGTTCATTTGGTTAGCTTTGCTTTCCTGGGAATTCGGAATTTAAAAGTCAGTTCAGATTTGTGTGGGCTCAATGACCAGCACGAGGAGAGACGTTCGTGCATAAATAAAAGGGGTTCCAGAAGGGAATCTGAGCCACGACTGGCTTTGGACTTAAATTCAAATTTCGCTCTGCTTAACTCACTCGGTTGTCAGGGCCCAAGTCCCCAGATCCCCAGAACGCCAGAAGCCCAGTCCCCAGTCCCCAGTCCCCGTCTCCATCTCCATTCGCATCCGCATTCACGACCGACTACAGACCACACATCCAACTCAAGCTGGAATTCAATTTTCCATTCGCAGGTACGAGGCGGGCAGGCACCAGGAGGAGTATGTGGACTGTCGCTACAACCAGAACAAGGGCTACGTGGTCTTCTCGGCCATGGGATCGTTCTTCATCCCCCTGACGGTGATGCTGTACGTCTACGTCAAGATTGGTTATGTGCTCACCTCGCGCCGACAGCGCATTGTGCGCGATGCGGTAAGCTGTCTCTCTCTCCGTCTCTCCTGCAATGTGTCATGAAATTTATCATCAGACCATCTCTAACCGCCTGTCACACTCTCCCCACTCTCCCCTCTCTCCCGCACACTCAAACAGAACTCGGAGCGCACGGCGGACTGTGACGTGGATGGCGACAACTTCATCTCCGAGTCGGAGCACTATCACTGCACGCCCACCAAGTGGCTGCCGCACCGGAAGTCCCGCTGGAGGTTCAACTCGTTGCACGACCAGACAGGCGCAGGCACAGGCACCGGCACAGGCTCCACTGCTAGCGCGGGCAAACAGTCACTCAAGTGCCCAAAGTGCCAGGAGAAGACCGGACAAGTGCCGGACAAAACGCTGACCTTCAAGCACCAGCCCACGTTCTACGAACTGGTGGAGGTCTCCCGCCTCTCCTCACTCATCCACTGCTCGGCAATTAGCTGCAAGTACGGCGGCCCCTGCATGCATTCTACGCCCTCGGTGCCCTCGGGGCTGCACTACACGGGCAGCCAGGCCTCCTTCTCGGACACCTGCCTGGGGGGCATGCAGGGATCCAATATGGCCGCCGAGTCGCCATCCGACTCCAAGCCGCAGCCGTTGGACGGAGACTCCAAGGGCGGCTCTCAGGCGGTCCTGCAGAAGAGAGTCTTCGACATGCAGCACCATTACCAGCAGGGACAGGTGCCGGTGCAGGTGCCCGTCCAGGCCCATCATCATCATCACAGCCATAATCACGGCCAGCACAACCCCCACAGGATGCCGATGCGAGTTTCGACCACGAAACGTGATAGCACAAAGACCGCCAAGACCCTGACGATTGTGATGGGCGGCCTAATTGCTTGCTGGCTGCCGTTCTTCGTCTACTACCTGCTGATACCCTTCCTTCCCCGGCCGGCGGTGCTCGAGGACCTCATGTTCGGCTTCACCTGGGTGGGCTGGGTCAATTGCGCCATAAACCCCTTCATCTACGCCTTCTACAATCCCGACTTTCGCACTGCCTTCTGGCGCCTCACCTGCCGACCCATCTGCAAGCAAAAGCGTCCTCCCAACCATCTAGCCATGTTCCGCGGCTAAGCTCCCATTCCCATTCCCATTCGCATCCCATCCCAGTATCTTGATAGTTGTGCCATAATCTTAGAAAACATCCTTTAGACAATCCAAGCAAGGCTCAGATGTGATGGATTCCCATCCTCAAGCTAAGCGCCAGAGTCCTAAGAGATGTATCTTGTCCATGTAGCTTTTAGTGTGCACTAGGCTTTATCCCAATGTTGCACTATGTAGATGGTTTCTCTAGTCGTCCGGAAGATACTTACTTGTTGGCTCCACCATCATAGAATATCTAATTAAAGGCAGTATTTATAGTGTATCCGCATTCAAGGCTCTCCTTTGGTCTTGGTTGAGTTATGAGTGCCATCTTCGAGCAGAGACGAATTAATCCTATTTAAGATTTTATAATATATCATAAATATATGTATGCGCAGTGTGTGGTGGAAAACAAACCAAAACCGAAACCAAAAGCGAAACCAAAACCGAAACAAAAGACAAATTATAGTATTTGCAGGGTCTTTGTTGCCTGACAGCAACTGTTGACTGTCTGGATGTCTGGCAGATGAGATGATGGTATGGGTCCGGTCCAGTAGCTGCCAACGACATATCTGGCGTATCCTTTGTGGGTCCGTCCCACGGCCCTGCAGGCACTGACAGAGTCCGGGTCCGGGTCCGGGTCTGGCCAACCCATTTAATGTTTGAGCAATTGTCCGGAGGAGCACTGAAAGTGAAACTGAAACGGGACTTCAAGCTGCAATTGTGCTGGAAAAGATTTTGAAGTGGACACACATAAAACACAAACAAAAAAACAAAAAAAAAACAAAAGAATAAAAGAATAAAAGAAAAGAAAAGCCTTTGTCCCCACTCTAGAATTAGGAAGCACGTTTTTTAGGCCACTGAAGTCACTAGACAGACACTTTGTATATTTGTACTATGTACTATATGTGTATGCTATACTACTATATATTATATTCAACTTGTTATATTTATAAATGTTCACTTGGAATGGATCTCTGTAGGACAGGAAGTTCTTGCAATAAAACTTAAGTTCAACTCAAAGGAAAGTCGAAAGAAGATTATAGCAGATGTTTTCGTGGAAGGACCAGATCCAGTCCGGTCCTGCCTCCAACTTCTTGCCATAAAAGTTGAGTACGACTCGAGGAAAAGCCCTGTATCAGTGGGGGTGGAGGAGGCGGAGGAGGAGCACTGCAATTTTCCTCGCAGCCTTGGCTTCTTCTTTTTTTGTTTCTTGTGTGTGATTTATGATTGGAAGTGGTAACCCAGTGGCCGCCACTAAGTTGTTTACCGCAACGAGAACGGAAGCGAAAGAAACGCTGAATCAGCCGGCCACGTCTGGGATTACGGCTCTCCGGGCTTTGACTCCGTCTCCGGGCCGCCAGCTGGCGGGCTGCGTGGCGATACATTAATTTAGCTGGAAATAAGGCGTGAAAAAAAGATGCGGTCATCATAATTACGAGCCCACGAGGAAGGGGAGGAGGAGCTGCCACACCACACACACACGCGCTGGGAACACACATGCGATTCACATGCGGAATGGCATGCATATGTGTGGCAGGTGGTGGCAGGTGGAGCACGGGGACTCTTTGCCTCTAATGAATTGCAACACATTTCGCTGTCACATTTCACATTTCACTTTCGAGTCGAGCTCGGCGGAAACAGGAACAGGTGCCTCCGCACCAGAAGCGGTCCGGTCCCCTAATGCCCCATGTCAGCGACAAGTCAGCGGCCTCTGAGAATCCTATAAAATACCCTCGCACACCCCCCACACTGCACTGTAATTTGGGGGGTTTTTTTCGAGGGCGCTTGATATCGCATAATGTGTTAAATTAAATGGGAGCCCGGGCTGTGGGTCCCTGGTCCCTGGTCCCTCCTATTTTTAGCCAGGTGCCGACAGGGTGCTTAGGCTAATGTGGTTTGTTGGCCAAAGATTTTCGGTTATGTCATCGCAGTCGAGAGAGCAGGCTCCCTCCCCGGCAATGCATACAAAAACGAAATATATGTACTCGCCGCACATTGTATAGGTATATAGTATATCGATATTTTCAAGCATTTAACAAGTGCTCGGGACAGGAAAAGTTTGCCAATGACAAATGCTACCCAGAATGTTTTTTCGAATGAACTTTTGTTTTACCCGTATTTTCCGCTTGCTTCTTTTTGTTTTTGTCCTCGAAGGGGTCGGGTAGGGGGCCTTGAGTGCCCCCTTCTCTGTCATACTCTGTCTCTGTCTTGCTGTGCCCCCAAAATCTCGTTGGCTGCAGACGGGGACTCGGGGCGGGGGGCGGGTGGCGGGGATTCGATCAATTAATGTAATCCAAGTTGGGCTCGGGCTCAATTAGAGTCTTAAAACTCCATTTAGAGGATGCTCTGTTGAAATTTGTTCTCGTTCCGTTTCCTCCCGGGATGTGTGTGGGGAGCAGCTCCACTGAAATATTCATAGGGCGACGGCAAGAGAGCAAAGCTGAAAGCGGTCCATATTTATGGTTATTTTTCGCAACAAACACAACTTTGCTTTCTAACCGTTCGCCCGGGCCCAGGCCCTCGTTTTGCTTTTTTGTGAGGGTTTCCCTTGAATTTGCTGTGCTGGTTAAATATATGTAAATACACAAGAGTACATACATCCATGTACGAGTATGTGCGCTGCAGTTGGTTGTGAATTCAATTTTGAAGCTGTTCAATAATTCACGCCCAACACACACTAAACATTGTTCATGGTCCTCCGACTGCCGACTAGAATCCTTGAATAACAAAGACCCACCTCTAGCCCGGAGAGAGGGAGTTGTCTTTTCGATTTGTCTATTTATTTGTTTGTTTGTTTGGTTTCACAAAAATGATGAACTATTAATAGATATGCAGATTATGCGGATTATGTATATGATATTAGTCGTACGCGTACGCCCAGCAGATGAGAGACGGCACTGGAGTGCTCCTGTGTCTGTTTCAGCCGAAAGTGTGAAACGTCTTTCATCCGAAGCCTCGCACGGCCTGACATGTGAGCTGAAATTCTGGATTCTCGATTCTGGATTCTGAATTTGGATTGAAGATTGTTGACTGAGGCGTGGACGGGGACGGGGGACGGGGCGATGAAGGGTAAAGATGAGGCATGTATGCTGATGAGGCTTCGTTCTGACTTAATCTCTATGTCGTAGCATTGCTTGATTACATTAAATGACTTCACACGGAGATGGGAATGGAAACGGAAGGGAGTGGGTAAGGACTCTGTTAAAAGTAGATTGCTTGGTGCTTGGCGAAACACGTGTTACATTGTGCTACTTCTGGTAGGCTCTAGGGCTAGCTAAGCTGTGGGTTGATGGCCTGAATAAATGATGCCTAAATTATATATGTATAGTATTCTCACATAAATACATCTCTCAAACATTCACACACACACAGACACACTTTAAAGCTAAGGGAAAACTCTTGAAGTTCCAAACGGACTTCAACTATAAACTAAATCACAGTAACTCTCTTTTAACTGGCTGATTAAAGCTAATTCTCGACTGAATCCCCACTGAATGCGGCCCGGACTCTGCTGCTCCACTGCTCCACTGCTCTCTCTCGGCTGTAAATCAGGGCCACTACTACTATCTGTGCTGTATCTCTTGGATTTATGGTGCATCGATATCAGCTATGACTGAGATACAGGGAGATATACTCGGGCACTAAATTCGAGTCTGATAATAGGGCAGAGCTGCCTCATAAATACATCACGCACTGGTCTTCGCAAAGAGAATGCACAATTCGTTTGGACAGGTGTCGGGGTCACCAAAAGGTGTCCCACCAGGCCACCCCACCCCAGAGCATATTCCGCACACGCACATATCTCTCAGAGCAAGTCTGAAGTCTGACTAGCTGAATATTAGAGTGGGAATAGTAGTAGATGTGTGCGCAATTTCGGTGAACCATATAACCAAGTTTCCTCATCCATCTAAACTGTCTATGCCTCCGCCTCCGCCTCCACCTTAGACACTGGCACTGCCAGCGCCACGTTGTTGCAAGTTCGAGGAAGCGTGGAGCGGAAAAGTCATGCGGAAATTACTAAATCGATACGTGCTGCCACGTATCTGATTTTCTACGGGTCTCCCGTATGGAAAGCGACTGCACAAATGCCTTTAAATCATGTGCAACAGTGGAACCATATTTATACGGATATGTACGGACAACTGACAGGGGCGGACACATCTCCTTTGGCCGTAAAAACATACTATACAGCGATACAATCTATGTATTTCCTGCCCGGCAACCTTGGAACCTTGGAGCATTGGGGACCTAGAACTTCCTCCGAGTCCAAGCCAAATCCAGTGGAATACGCGCGTTTTGCAGTCGAATGATCTAGTATGAAAGCAAACCCTGACGGCGAAGGGAAATGAAAATAAATTATACAACAAACTGAAGAACAATTACACATCCGGGGGATGGGGCATGAGGACGATGAGGGTCTGCTCAAGGTGCAATTAGGGACCACACCTAAAAACTAATGAATAAGTTAATCATATGCTGTGCAGTGGCAAATTTGTTCAGGGCTTGAGTGTGGGTTGAATGGAACATGGAGAGTGGGGACTGGGGACTGAGGACTGAAGACATGTCCTATCGCCTGATGGACATGGTGTTGGTGGGGAACTGGGGCTTCTGGCCGGAACTGAAGAAACGCTTGCAGGTGAGGCGCCAGAAGGCGGCGCGGAAGTCGACGCTGTAGAAGGCGTAGATGAACGGATTGATGGCGCTGTTGAACCATCCCAGCCAGGTGAGAGCCTTGGCCAGCATTTGGCTAACCTGGTGCTCCGCCAGAAACGGTGTGATCAGATAGTTGATGAAGAACGGCAGCCAGCAGGCTATGAATCCGCCCACCACGATGCTCAGCGTCTGCGTCGTCTTGGTCTCCTTCTTCAGCGACGTAATGCGATTCGACAGGGACTTGCTGTTGGTGTTGGTGATGGTGCTGCTGCTGCTGGGATTCGGGTTCGGGCTGCCACCAGTCGATGTTGTGGTCACACCGCTTTGGTGATGCTGATGGTGCAAATGGTGCAGGTGGTGCAGATGGTGGCCGCGCAGTCGATCCCGCTCCCTTTCCTGGCTGCCCAGGCCCAGGTGCGAGTGTCGAAAGCTTTGGGCCCTGGCCTGGGACTGGGACTGCCATTGTGTATCCAGGAGGCTGCTGCCCGGCCCGACGCCACTTGTCATTGTGGTGATGGTTGTCGATGCCGTCGATGTGCGCTTCAGGGACGAGGGCCGTGTCAGCTCGTAGCATCCATTCTTCACCCCACTGGAGGCGCCGCCACCTGAGGGCAGCGCCAGCAACGACTGGCAGTGAATGCCTCCAGCCGTAGTCACAGCTGGGGACCCCCCTCCTCCGCCTCCTCCTCCTCCACCTCCTGCTCCTGCTCCTGGTGGGGCCCCGCCGAGCTGCTCGCTGTCGCCGAGCATCATCTCGTGCAGCTCCTTGGCAATTGTCTGGTTGGAGAAGGTGCGCGACGTCGCCTGCCGCTGTCGATGGCCCGCCGAGCTGGGCTCCTGCTCCGACAGCTCGTTCTCCACGTCCGCAGCCGTGTAGCGCTTGAATTTCTAGACACGCAAAGTGCACGGAACGAAAGAAGCACAAGTCAGTGGATGATAAATAACTAAAATGGAGCCAAAGTGCGGTTAAAGTTTGTCTAAAGCTAAAAAAAAGTGAGTAAAGCGAACAGGAACAGGAAACCGCAGCTTTGCAGGATACAAACCCAGCAATGCTCTTGCTCTAAACTAAATTCTACGAAAAAATTGCATCTGGCAAGCTTAAAAGATATGAGAATACTACTCTTTAAAGCCCACCCACACACACACATACATATGTGTACGGACTCTGCATGGGAGAAGTCGGGAAAAAAAATAGTTGAGGACTGTAGAGGGAGGATTAGCTGCCGCATGGCGATAGCTGGAATACCCTTCTGGCATAGCAGAAGAGAGACTTGGCCGGGAGGAGATGCACTTGACTAGGCTTTAGGGTAATGGCTTTTAGAAGAAGTGCATGGATGGCCTTCTGGCCGGCAGAGTCGCCAAAAGTTGGCTCCTGAATGGGAAATGGGGCAGGGGAATGGGAATGCATAAATCTGTTTAACCGATTGATATGAACTCGTATGCAAAATCTAATCCAAGCGTGTTCAAGGGCAATAAAATTCAGCTCGTTGGCTTTCAAACTTAGAGAATGCCCCCACGCCTAAAGCCCCAACCCCTAGGACATGGCTCGGATCGACAGAGAGAGGCACGCCCGGTGCCCGGTGCCCGTGCCGGCCGGGGCATGGTATTTAAATCTGTGTAAGCTGCTGGCGTATGGGAATTATGAAACAAACGTGCCGCAGTTAGCTCTGTACGTGCGGTGGAGGAGGCTCCGGGATGCGGCTCCAGCTGCAGCTGAAGCTGCAGTATTTTGTGGGTTTTGTGTGGGTGGCAGGACTGGCAGGACTCGGTGGGACACTCACCTTGTTGTGAACACTTATGTCGGTCATATTGTCGTGCCTGGATGCAATGACACAGGAAATTCTTGCATACACATAAATCATGACTGCCATCGGTATGAAGAAGGAGCCCATGGCCGAGAAGATGACGTAGCCCTCGTTTTGGTTGTAGCGGCACTCCCGCAGGTCCCGTCTGCCCGGCTCGTACCTGGGAAAGAGAGCAGGCGAAAGGCGAAAGAGAAAGCAGAAGGGAAATTAGCGGAATACAATTAATTACAACACCGACGGCTAATGCGAGTTGCAGGACACAGTTTCCACCTAATTGTATTCGTTTGTTCGGTCTGGCGTCTCAGCAGGGGTCAGGGACAGGGACCTGGACAGGGATCGGGTCAATTTGCATACTCACCATCCCAGGATGGGGGGACAGGTGATGGCCAGTGCCAGCAGCCAGACGATTAGGATCATTATGAGTGCCAATCGTTTCGAGCGCCGCTTACGCGAGTACGTGAGCGGCCTGGTGACGGCCAAATATCTGATGGATAGACGAACGAAGTTACGGGCGAAATATGATTATTGGCTGGGATTTTTTGGGTTTTTTTTGGGCTTTTTCCCGCACGTACCTGTCCACGCTGATGGCGCACAGACTGAGAATGGAGGCCGTGCAGAGCAGCACGTCCAGGGAGATCCAAATGTCGCACAACACCCAGCCGAGCTGCCATGAGCCTGCAATCAAAAATTCATAAATTAAAAACTTCCCCCCAGCCGGCAGTCTGAATATTCCGAAAGTCCGGTCCAAAGTCAATTTGATTAGCAGCATTATTCTGCGAAGGCAAGAGCTTACTCTCGCCGGACCATGGCAAATGCCCCACCTAAGGCCAATTAAATGGGCAAAGCCCTCGAAGATTTTCGGGCAACGCTCAGATGGAGACGGACCCTGGGACGGGGAGCAGGACTGGGCTGGACACGGACGGCACTTTTCAGCAGTAGTTCCTTGGCCTGTTCCAGCCTGTCAACCGATTAATTTTTTAATCAAGGCCGGACCTCCCCTCCGTACCCCGCAATGGTCTCCGGGCACCAAATGAAAACTTGTTTTTGCTGCAAAACAAGGACCTCTGCGGTGGAGCTAGCTCATTAGGCGTCCAATGAGAAGATTGCCCAAAAGGCACACGGCACTCTAAAATAATAGAGAAAGGGCAAAGGAAACGGAGAAGGGCTCGTACTATAATTTTGAGATGCAGTTTGGAAGTTCAATTTGCTGTTTGCTGAAGCCGGACCGGAACTTGAGTGCACTTTTAGGGAAAGTAATCAAACAAAAAGAGGGAAATATGGTATGGGATTTCCTCTAAGAGATGCCTGACCAAGATGCTGCACCTCCGCTGCCTGAACTCGCCTTAAAATGACCTTTGTTCCCTATGCAATATCTTGGTATTGTTAATCTAGGAGCAGCCATATCTTCAGGAATGTCCTTGGATCACTTAATTATCTGATCGATTATAATAAACAACCAATAAGCGGCGGGCCTCCACATATTAAATTCGTTGAGGGTCGTACCCTATCCCTATCCTCCCTCTCCGCATAGTATCTCCGGGTATCGTCGTCCCATTTTCGGACAGTCCTCCGTTTCGGGATGATTATGAAAAACTTTTGGCATACCGCAGCCTTTAAAGCATGCCGGCCCCAAAAACATCGACTGAGGAATGTCTCCCCTTTTTTGCATTTTGTTTTTTTTTTCGGTGGTTGGGTATTTTTTTTTGCGGCTGAGGAAATTACAGGAAAGCGAAGGCAACAAAAAAATGAAAGAAATTCTTTCGGTTCAAAGAATACAAATCCATAAGGCGAGAGAGATACATATATTCCACCTTGGAGCATTTACATACACAAAAATATGCGGGGCGGGGTGGGGCGGGGCGATGGGTCCTGCGGCCACTCCCACTCCCACTCCTGATCCCATTCGTGTTCCTGTTCGTGTTCCTTTGTTACATTAGCGTGGAAAGGTGAAGGCGAAGGCGAAGGGGCGTGGCAGGGGGGCCTAGCCGGAAAGCTTGTGTTGGCAAAATTTTTCTTTTGGGGGGGATTTTGCCGGAATGGCATCTTCATCTTTTAATCACGCGAAAAGCCGACAAAATGTTGCCTACTTTCGAGCGCAAGGACCCTAAGAGAGGGACCAGAACGAGGGACGACTCACCTGTGAGATGTACTGCCACGGCGGGGGGCATCACAAAGATGCCCACAAGGAGGTCGGCCACGGCCAGACTCATCACGAAGCAGTTGGTGATGGTGCGCAGGCGACGAGTCGTTAATATGGCCAATATGACCAGGGTGTTGCCGATAACGGTGACCACGATGAACGTGGCAAAGACTGCAATCAGGCAGATGCCCTGCCAGGATAGGACGAGATCGTAGAAGTGCGCCCATTCGGCGGCCGCCGCCGACTCGTTGTAATAATTGAATGTGGTCACGGCTGCGATGGGGGCCGACTCGGTGAGGGCCACGGCCAGCCCCCCATCGCCCACCTCATTAGAGGTCTCATTAGCGGCATTCTGCGGCAGGACGACATTCAATCCCGAGACAGTTCCTGTTCCTGTTCCAGCCGCCGCTCCCGCTCCAGCTGCCACTCCTGTGCCCCCTGCCGCCAGGCTGGCTGCGGTGCCAGTGCCATTCCCACTGCCATACCCACTCGCTGTGCCAAGCAGGTCCTCGTAAACGATGGATATGTTCTCCTGGCGGCCCAGGCCCAGGCCCAGCCCGAGGGAGGAGGCAGCCACATACATGAGCGACGGATAAATGGCGCTTAAATTATTCAGCTGCAAGTTGACAGCCATAGATCTGATGCTTATACTGCTGGCTTCTGGCTTCTCGCTTCTGGCTTCTGCTGTAACTCGTACTAGTAGCTCTTGTTGCCTCTAATCCTCTAGAGGGGGGACACACGCTCTGCCCAGTCGAAGCCTAGCTGGAACTGCCCAACTGGTGTCATCGTATCGAATTGCTCTTTGATGGCTCCGTCGGTCCGTCGTGGCCAGATCTGCAATCAAATGAAAGTGCGGGGCGGACTGGTGAGTTTTTGCATGGGAAATGGCTCGGAATCGGTTGCGGATTATTTACACTTAACACTGGCACGTATCTTGGGGCGATACACTATCCGGCGAGGAGAGTAGATTCATTCAGCACCGGATTGCCGCCCATTCATTTGCTGGAAACTTTTCCACTATCCAGCCACTATACACACGTGCTCTCCCCGTCGATAAGATTGATAATCGCTCTCAAAAACTTTATTATGATGAGGTGGGAGAGTGGGAGCTCTGTGTGACTCTGTCGACTCTGCCGCGGATGAACGCCAAGTGTGTGGCAGACCGACCGGCAAGGGTTCGACAGTTCTTGGCACTTCTGTTGACAATAATTTGGCATTTAAGCATTATTTATTCACTGCCTGATAGTGTGTGGGGGTACTGCTGATTGCAGAATGTCTGTGTGTGTGTATTCTATATATCTCGATGGGATGGGTATGGGTACGGGTGTGAGGGTGAGTGTGAGGGTGCGATAACCAAATTAAAAACCCGCTATAGACAATGTGGCGGGGCGGTGCTCTAGCATAAAGGTGTCTGGTGTTTGCTAGGAGAATTTGCACTTCCCAAATGCCAAGGCCAACAGCAGAGCCGACCAAACAAAGGGTTCCGTGGCCAGCGAAAGGGTATCCCCCAGTCTGTTTGTCGGCTGCAGGCCATAAAAGAGCAGAGCTTATCGCTCACATGATATCAATCTAGACAGCTGGGCCTCCATGGAAGGCGTGAGCGAACTTTTACTCTTTTACTGTTTTTACTGTTTTATGCTGCAGTTTATGTATAAATATTTCAACAGCCAACAGCCAGCCCCATGACGTACTCAATGTGGAAGCGATAAATTGGATAGATTGGGGACAGGGCCTACGGCAGTTCAGCGGGCAGCAGGCAGCCGCAAGTCAATGCCAAGGTATCGATCAGTCCGTAAGGAATATACATATGTGTCATCCCATCTGATAACGCGCTCAAGCCCCAAACCTAATTGAGGCACACATGTACTATAATTATAATTATAATTATATACGAGTCCGGGAATGGTGGTGGTAACCAAATGGAATCTCGAGTGTGCAATAGGAAACTGCTGCAAATTCGAATGATACCGAAAATAGATTTATGAACGCATGCCCCCGCGCATTTGAAGGGGGTATCTGACCGCGATAAGCAAAGGCTCTTGCTCTGGCTCTGGCTCTGGCGTTTTTATGGCCACTTTGATTGATAATCCGATTCGCAACTCAATTGCAAAGTTCACACACACAAATTGGGGGAGGGGGAGGTTCTTTGGCCCTAATCTCGGGCCAATTTCCATGACAATGAAGCCAATCAAGCCAAATAATACCAAATATTCTTCCTTGGGGTTGAGAGCTGTTGGGTTCTTCAACAAACTATTTCTTCAAAGCAAGCAAATTGAGTTGGAAAATTCAATTACTTGTTTGGGCTAACATTTTGCATTTTCAATTCCAAGACGTTCGGATCGGGGCTGCTGTGGGGTACGAAAATCTCTATTAGCTGGAATCGATCGGGGATGTTCTCTAAACACATGCGTATGTTCCTGTGTCATCAATCAAGTTCTTGGCCCCGACAGAACACTCATCTCTGGGCCTATCGGCGGCTATATACAATATGTTTGATTTATTCACACTCAAAGTTCAGCCCAGCAGCAAATAAACAATGAAGAGTCTTCTGAGTGCCAGAGCATGCTCTATTTGCCGCTTTTCAGGGCATTTCTGTTAGAGCGTTTTGGCCTCTTTGACAGCTGGACGGCCTTCACCTTATTCCGCTTTAATTGACCAAGCCCCATTTCATTGGCAAATATTAAGAGAACGAATGGTATTCAGATATAACTCGGAATGGCCAGGGCCAGACATCACATAGAAATTCAAATGATTTTTGGCTTTTTCCAAATGTTTGCATACTGTTTTTTACACTCTCGCCCCCCGAAAGGGGGGAGGGAAAAACTACTGCGTCGGAATTCTGTCCAAATGCAGCCTCCTTCCTCTATTCATTTCCTCTATTGTTTGGGCCGAGCAGTTGTTGCAATTTTCGGACAACATGGCGTATGTGTAACATGCAATCCTCAAATAATATTTCCCTGACTGTCATGTATTTTTTAGCACCTCCCCCGGACCGTCCCGGGACCGGGCCCGGGCCCGGGCACAGTATTTTGCCAGGTCCTTTTTGCCCTCGATCTCTCTCTCTCTCCACCCAACCGCAACGGAGTCGGTGTTGGTGCCACACACTGGTGTCTCTGACGTCAGACCACCACAGTTTCATTCGCAGTGTGGCACTACTTATAACTCGCTATTTATTGTGCTGGCAGACACTTATTTGTCCCTCTTTATTTGGCAATCCAATCGAGGGTGTTCAGCGTGAAAGCATTTTGCCATTACTCCCACCTGATCTATGGAAATGTCTCTCCCAGCCAGCCAGCCAGCCCACAGGCTTTGCCCTCTCCCCTGCCCGTGGCCGCTTCAATTGAGGCCAACTGCCAGGAACTAAAGGGTCCTGAAGAGGCCTCCTCTCTCGTCTCCCCCCTCTCTCTCTCCCTCTCTGTTTACTTACTTAATGCAATCGCTCTGTGCTGTCCTCTGCTCTCACATTCAAACACTTGGCATTGTTTTATTTACACAGAGTTATATGTAAGTATATTATATTAATTATTATTATTGTTTTTTCCGCCTCCGCAGCAGCACTCCTCCGCAGCACAGCCCACTGAAGTGGCCCAGAACGTTGTATTTAATTTCAAACTTGGTCGAGTGCCCTGCAACTGCAACTGCAAGTGGATGAGGCTGATGGGGCCCAGCAACTGATTCACTTTCAATATATTTATACGCAAGAGTGTAGTATTTCGAAGGGTCTTCCCGCACAAATTCAAATTAACGTTATCGTGCGGACAGGTAAGCCCCCGCTGGCTGATCAATCGCTCACGGACGACTGTGATAATATGGTGGGGCAAAGAACGTTTTTCTGGCGCTCCTCCTGCAACAACGACGCGACCGCCTCGACGCTCCACGGAAACTGAACTGAAACTGTAACAGAATGGCGAGACCGGCCGAGCGCCGCGTCGGGCCGTGCCGTGCCGAGCCGAGTCGCCGTGCGAATGTGGATTTTCAGTGGGCATCTATCAGTGGGGTGGGATTGGTTGGCTGGTTCCAGTGAACTGTGGATCCCAATCCTGCTGGAGGAGCGCACAATATTTAAACAATTGTGCAAACATTTGAAATTTGAATATTCAAAGCTCCCACTTAATTCGCAGAATAATGTTTAATTAGGCCTAAAACGGTGTGATAGAGTGTTCACTCTCTCCTCCTATACTCGTATTGATAAGAAACCTGCGGGGAACTGAGAATTTTCAAAATGAACACATAAATGTATTCGCGAGTACTCAGGAAATCTAATTTAAGACTTTTATGGTAGCCTTATAGACATAGTAATAGCCCCCGCGTGCACATGCCTATCCCCATAGCTATTGTACAATATAGTCACTATATGTCTGTATATCTGTGTATATTTGACCCATTGTTTGAACATTTTATACCCTTGCCTTGCAGATGCGTCTTCTCTTGCTACGGCGCTCATAATGAGTATTGTCAACAGCTCTGCCTGCCCCAGCACTCGCTGCTGCTGGATGTTGTTGTTGTATTTGAATGCGTTCCACAGCTCCACCGACCGGCTCCCGCCTCCGCTATGGGAGGTAAACAAAGGCATGCGCCCTGACGTCAAGCCGAGGCAACCGGAACAACGGCAACGTCACAGGTCACAGCCAAGCGAAGACGAAGCCAGGGAACCAGCCAGAGCTTGGAGCAGAATGAGCGCCAATTTCTGACTTTGAATCGATCAATCTAAAATTTAAAATCTCACAAATCCTTTTATGCGTAAAACAGTTTTAAATGCGTTATTATTGTCCCATCATTCCCCATTTTTTTGCAGCATAATCTGCGGCTGCGGTGTTCGAAACCAAAGCACTCTTCTGGACTGGACGTCTCCCCATCTAGCCACATTTAACCTCCTTAATTGTCGGATACTCATTCGAATTTTGGTTCGTGTTTGTAGCAACTGTTTCTGCCTGCGACGCAATTACCATGTCGCGCTATCTCTTTCTAACCCACCCACGTCACCGCAGCGGAGCAAGCTTAACGCGCTCTCTCTTCTTCTTGTCTCTTTTGATCCTCTCTGACAAAGTCGTCTCTCTCCCTACGCACTCTCTCAGCGACACTTATACAGGTGCCTATAGAGTCAGTGGACATGAATAAGCATGCCCAGCAATGGGACAGGCAGTGGACAATAACAAACGGTAAATCGTAAAGTAGGCAAGGGAAGATTATACTGCGAACAATTTTGTAGCAAACAGAACAAAGTACACTGAGAATAATATTTGGATCCGACATACCTAACAGATTTACTTGGCTGGCTGGGGACCTGGCTGGCTCTCTGGCTGGCAGGCTGTGGTGCACAGTTGGACATCACTTAGATTGATTAAATGCGAGAAATCAGTGCGGTTCCGGCTACGTGACGTGACGTCCCTGGGATGCGGATGGGGATGATGATGATGGCTCAGCATAATTGGTGTCTATGCAAAAGCATTTATCGTGAAAGGGTAGAGGGTAAAGGTATCACAGCGTGGGCAGAGGCAAATGGCAGGGGTGGGGGAAAAAACCATTTCTAGTTTTGGGGCAAAGTTTTGCAACATCATTTAATTATCAAATGCACGTACATAAGTGAGTTTTGCAGTGACAGGAAGGAAGGTCGTCACCCGGTTTCCCTTTCCCTTTGCTTCTGATTCTGCTTCTGCCCCATTCCCTGAACCCATCCCGGACAACTTCAAGGCTGCGCTGCGTGTAAAAGTTTGTCCCGTCTCAAGTTCTCAAGTTGGGGACAAAAAAACCTTTCCATTTCTATGCAGCCCGGCCACACGCCACACTCCAAGCTCCAAGCTCCAAGTTCCACATTCCACACTGCCGATGGCAATGGCAATGGCAATGCTCCCAAATTGAGTTTAACAATTTGTCTTAGTGGCACTTGCAATGGATTCAGTAATTGCCTGACAAATCGCTACCCCACTTGTTGTGGTGCATGCCACACGCACACGCACACGCACACGCACAGCACATAAATAGCATCCCATATTCCGTATCGAGGGGACGCAGGACACGACAATTTGTCGCCAAGTGTCCTGGCACCATGTGTTCTCTCCAGCGTCATAAACTTTTAATTTCGCCCGCATAATTAGTCTGGGGAAATGGAAGCCATATCCCTATCCCCACCCCCAGCCAGTAGCCCGTCTCCCACTCCAAACTCCCATTCCCACTCCCAGATCTCGCTCTGGCTCTGCTCGACTTGGTTTTAATTGATAGGTGAATGAACCCGCTGTGTCCCTAATGCACTGCCTCGAAAGGGACTCAAGCTATTAATAATTTTAATCAATAAGCGTAATATTATTTCCATGAACTGGATCCGCGGAAAGGAGCTGTCGAGCTGCCGAGCTGCGGACTAACAGATATATAGTATTTTATATATAGTAGGTACATACATATATAGTACTTTCAATTTAATTCTGGAACATCCTCGACTTGTGCCATTTTCCCTTTAGTTTTGTTGTTCCCTCGAACATCCTGTGGCCGTGCCTGTGCCGTGCCTGCGCCTGCCATTGTCCGTTAAGCAGATTTCGGGCTTACACTGCCTGTTGTTCGGAAATTGTGGAAAAGCTTACAATGGACCGGGGCCAGAGCTGGGCTGGGTATCCGCCTGCCCCTTAAAGGTTTTGAAGGCGGCTTATTAAAAGTAAGCTCGCATGCAAATAGTTCAACTCCATGGTCCATAGTCCATAGTCCATGGTCCTTGGTCCTTGGTCCTGCTATTCCATTCCATCGTCCTGGCCAACAGTTTGGGGCATTAATTGGTTAATCTAGTTTACAACTGGCCCTCGAATGGTGAAAATGGCAATTTCGATGCTGACCATAAACGTGCGGATGCCATGCCCCCAAAGAAATGGCTCCCAGTCCCATACCTCATCTATTTGCACAGCAACCGCAACCGCAAAAGCCACACAAATACTAAAAACACAAAACTGAAAAACATTATTGGATATTAGGCAGGAGACCCCAAAACATGACAGGGGACAGCGGACAGGGGCAGGGGCAGGAGATGGATGCGCACACTGGGATTTATGAACAGAGATAATCTATTTGCAAATTGTCAAAAATTGTGCAAAAAGATTCCAACGAACGAGTGGAACGAGTGCTGCAACGAAACGTGGCGCCTCCAATTAAACTGCTTCTACGGACCCGTCCCTTAGAGGCGGTACTGATTAAAGTCATGATATTCGTGCGTACTCATTGCCAGAACAACACGATCTGGGAATTGTTCAACCTGCAACAACAGAGTCCACCTATGTGTGTGTGTGTGTGTTTGTTTGTTTGTGTTTGTGTGCCACTTGAGTAGTGTGTGCGCCCGCTGGTGGCAGCCATAAATAATGCCACATGAAGTTTAAAATGCAATAATGAAATTTATTAAGAACTTATGCGGAGTTGAGACAGACACCGAAGACCAGCAACGACCTTCGCTCCAGACGGACGGACAGAGTGCGGCAGGAAGGCAGGCAGGCAGGCAGGCAGGTCGGAAACGGTGTAGCAGGAGCAGCCACAGGGGCAGGGGCAGTGGAAAGGATTCATAATCATGGAGGAGAGCAGAAGTCCAGATACTCTAGCGAATCAGTAATAAGTCCTTAAGTTGGCCAAAAGTTTCAGCCAAAAGTTGGCGAACTTTTGCCGGATGGTGGGGGGGGGTTGAGGGCGGGGCTTTTCCCCCGCGGATGCTGAATGCCCTGACGCCGTAATGGAACATTCCGAGCATATGCCAGGAAGGGTATTATGCCGGCGCGTGCAATGTAATTTACGCAGCATGTTGCCGCACACACATGTGGCCAAGCGTATCGGGAGGGACAGGGACAGGGACAGGGCCGGAGCCGGAGCAGGAGCCGGACGTGAACTTGGGGCATAAAGGCAGGGCTCTTCCGTTTGACCAGCCTGCCACCGACCACCGACCACCGGAGGAGGACTCCTGCTCCGTTTGGTCCGGCTCTGGCTCTGGCTCCTGCTTCAACTCCATGGGCATGGCCCAGCACTTACGTAAATGCCTTATGGCAAAAGTTTTTCCCCTTTGTTGTTATTTGCCTGCCTGTTTTAAAAGTCCAAAATAATTGAGTTTTACGCATAATTTGCTTGATTTTATTTTACAGAGGGACGGCCACAGTCAGACAGAAGCCGCAAAGGTAAGCAAACAATCAATAGGCCCCCCCCCCCCCCTCCCACCACGCAGACTCCTCCATTCTCGGCACGCTTATCGTAATCGTAATCCAAATCGAATGCGAATCCGATGGTCAGTGGCACGCTCGGTTTTGACAAACACTAATTAAAATGAATTATTAAATATACGCGGGAGGATGGACACCGGATGGGCCCATGGGCCATGGGCAGAGATTTGGTGGGTTAAATGCAGATTAAAATGCGCAGCCTGGCTATGGGATACGGAATAAAAGGTTAGACGAATGCAGAGTGGCACAACGGCAGCATAAATCCATTTATAATTAATTTTTACAAATGAACGCGATAATTAAATATGCTCGCATCTGAATCAATGTACGGGGCCCACAGAAAAGCAAAAAGCGGCAAAGCAATTAAATGATGAATTATATATAAATCAGGATCCAGGGGATTTTTAAATTGCATCTGACCAAAATGAGCAGAATACTAAACAGGCGGCTAAATAGTTTAGTCTCTGGCCAACATTACATGGAATCCACAGAGGATAATCCCAAAACAGAGACAGAGACATAGATGAGACTTTTGGGCTTAAAGAGTTCAGTTTATTACAGGTGATACAAACATATAATACATGTCTATGAATTTCATATATATATATATATATATATATATATATATAATAGTAGGTGTATGTATTGTATATATATTTTATTCTTTAACACATTTACAAGATATTTTATTTTGAACCTTACCATATGCGCGCTTGGCAAATAGGGAATTATTGTTTTACATTCTATTATTACAGCTTATTGTGGGGGAAGTTGCTTTCACTCTTCCTCGTCCTTCCCATCCTTCTGTTCCGATTCTGATCCTAATCCTGATCCCACTTCTGATCAGCAAGCAACACCTTGAGTATATATGTATAGTATGTGTATATATATATCTTTAACACCTTGGTATTCATAGAGGTAGGATAACAATTGTCAGATGTTCACTGATTATATGATAGAATGCATTTAATGCACTTCACTTCCATAGGATGCGGTTTCATTTCCCACTCCAAATAACAGGTGAAACCGTTCTCGGTGGTGGTGGTTCGGTGTGGCTTAGTGTGGTTTTTGTTGTGGTCTGTGGTTGTGGCTGTGGCTTGTGGTATAGAAATTGCTTAGCATACACTTGAAATACTGCATTGAATTGAACAATGATTTATGTTAATAATAACCAACCAGATCTAACATAGAAATACATAATATATTCTCATACTTAAATTAATACAATTTGCCATTGAGCCACCTTAGGCCATTGAGCGACGCGACCCTTATACGATGCACCGAAGGGTGCCTTGGGGTTCAGGGTTTCTTGGGGGTTTCTTTGTTTGAGGTGCGCACAATTTTCAATTACCGAGAAAAATATACAAGTATGCATAAGTATTTGTGTGTATCTCTGTGTGTGTTTTGTGTTCGGTGTTCTGAGTGTTTGTACCATGCCAAAAAAACTCTACGAGTAGCAAAAACATTTGAATATCACTCGTATTGTATGTTAAAATTTGCAATTTTCAGATTCAAAATTCAATTCAATTCACTTGCATGAAATATATAGGTTTTACAATAAACTTTAGGTATAAACGCCGTTTAATCATTTGTCAATATATTAATATATATGTATGTATATCTGTAAAATAGGGAGACGCTTAGAGTTACGATTTTTACATGCCTATCCGCTGGGGCGGGGCGGGGCGGGGCTGGCACTACACATGCCCCTTGAGTGTTCTCTAAGTTGATTATAAATTCGATTAATGCGCTTGAATTCGGGGCAGGGTCGAGGCAGGGATGATCGAGAATCAACTCTGCATACGGGTAGGTTATTTATTGCATTAAATATAGGTAGGCATAGGTATAATAGGTTTTACTTTACACATTACGTTACGACCCCTGTATTCAATTCAAACAAACTTAGAACGAACGCTTAACTCTTGAATAGGATCTACAGATACATACAATATTAGCAAATACAAAAATATCTATCGTATCCATACCCTTCTTGATCTGTTCTGCTTGCCCCCTGCTCTGTGCGATCTACAGTATGTATGTACATTGAAAGTGGCGAGAGTCGGCTATATTATATGTAGTTTTGGCACTAATCCAGTGGCTAGGCTAGTCAAGGGGTTGGGGTTTGGGGTGGTTTCTGGGGTCATAGTTTATAGTTAATAGTTTATACATAATACATAATCTCTGATGATTGATTAGAGGCTGAACGTAATTAGTCATTCAGTTTCAAATATACACAATTTTTAGATAGGTTCTCGAGCATCAATCAGTCCCGTCCCCTAATCCTAAACCTACTAATGTCCAGCTTAGCAGCTGCTGTAGATCGATCTCTCTCTATCTCTCTCTCTGTAAATCTCATCGTAGTCATAAAAACCGCTGCAGTATGTACTCCGCTCTACGCACTGATCTGGCACTACTGATCTTTGATCCCTGATCTCAGTTATTGTTTTTCCAGCGCGAGAGCAAAAGCCTCCAGCGATTTTTACGCCTTCTGCTTCAAATTTGCCATATCAATAAATGGTTGGTGCTGTCCTCGCGGCCGGCGATCTCGCTGAGCGAGTTGGCGCCCGAGTTGCGGAAGTCCTCGTAGCCATCGCCACCGGAAATGATCAGCGTGTTGTTGGTCTCCGACTTGGATTTGGAGTGCTTTATGGAGCTGCAAGGCAAAGAGCTGTTAAAAGAGCTCCTCAAAGTTTAGTGATGGCTTGCGCTTACCCCTGCTTGGAGTACTCATCGCTGGTGGAACCTCCGCTCGCCTCCCGGGCGGCTCCTGTCGTCCCCTCCAGGCCGGTGGTCTCCACAAATGTGAGGAATCGCACATGGCCGGTGTGGCCGTGGGGAATGCCTGTGGGCACAATGTTCACGGCGCCCTTCTCGTAGCCCAGGGCCGGTATGGTCAGAAGGACGCCCGCACTGGTGCCAATCCAGATGAGATCCTTGCAGCACAGCAGCGAAGTCACCCGCAGGCAGGCGGCCTTGTGCTGCCTAATGATCTCGTCGCAGTTGGAGAGCATCTTGTTCACGGCGGGCGCGAGATTCACTTCGGTGACTAGCTGGTGGCTGTTCGACGAAGGAGAGTTTCGAATTTAACAGTGATCGGATCGGATGGCTGTGATCTCCACTTACGTATTGGAATGGAAACATTTGATGTGTGCCGAGTTCTGGATGGATATCCACACAAAGTTGCTGGCGACTGTCATGTTTGTGATCGGCTTCGAATCCGACGATATCTGTATCTGATGAATGACCTGCAATTGAGAGAAGTGAGTACTCTTATTAGTACGATCCAGAGATGATTTTCGGGGTATCTTTCGTACCGTTAGGCTCTCCACATCCAGGACCTTGATGATGCCCTGAATGGAGCACCAAAGCCTGCCGTTGACATTCAGCAACTTGGTCACAGGACTGGTGACGGTGCCAATGGACATGCAATGCGATGAGCTCGTATTCCAGGAGGTGGCTGATATAAACACACAAATTGGGATTAAATAAGGATTCAATGGAGATCTCTAGCGCTCCACTTACCTCCATCTCTCAGGTAAACGCAGATATCACCATTTGCCAGCGAAACAAACACACGATTGTCAAGGTACCTAAATGCACAAAGAGAAGGAGATTTACTGGTAGTATTCCTCAAGGATCTTCGATGGCGACTCAATGCCTCCTGACTTACAAAATGGAATAGACGGCTGAGTGGTGCTCGATCTTGATGCGGTTCTTCTTAATGCGAATATTGTCAGTGCTATTGTAGACATGGATGCAGCCGTCCTCGGTACCGATCCACATGGTTGATTGATTGCTCTCGCCCTCCTCGGGATTCGAGTCCTGAAACCCAGAATAAGGTATAAGGATGCCAAGGTTAAGATAAGAGTGCTCTCACCTGATGGCCATGATATCCGGCATGCAGTGAGGGGGCGGGGCTAGGCACACGTTCCACTAGACCCGCAGATCCAGATCCAGCTGATCCTGTGCTGCCGCTGGCAACGTTCAGCGAGGCAGAGGCGGAGGCAGCGGCGGCTTCCGTCTCATCGTCGCTGGAGCTCAGATTCAGCTCCAGCTGAGTATCACTGTTGCTGGCGGCCACCGCGACACCGTCGCCAGCCGCCACCGGCGTGGGTGTGGGTGTCTTTTTCTTTTCGGGCGTGGCCGTGGCCGAGGAGGAGCCGGTCTGGAAGCTGGGGGAGATGCTCTTGCGGAAGTCGTGCAGCTGCTGTGTGTAGCTCGGAGTGGGCTGCGGCTGCTGGGAGCTGTTCCTCGGCTTCTCCTTCTCCTCCTGGCCACCTCCACCGGTCTGCTCCCCACTGCTGTTGCGACTCGAGGCCGAAGAGCTGTACGCCGGCACAGATGCCACGCACAGGATGCGAGCATTGCAGACACCGTTGCAGCTGGTGACATTCGGCTCTGGGTGCAGCGACATGATGCACACCTGGCCCACGTACCCGTCGCTGTTGCACACCCACACATCCCGGTTCTCGCTGAGCGTGGCCGCCGCGCAGGTGAACTGCAGGCCGGCGCGGGTCTTCCGTATGGGTATGGAGGTAAGAAACTCGGGTATGGGATGGCGCTCCAAAGTGGCAGCTGTGGAAGGAGAGAGTTCCATCAGAGTTCCCTTGGATGATGATTGATTCGATGGAGTGCTTACCCAGCTTCTGCTTGGCCTCGTTGAAGGTCTCCTCCCAGGCCGTACGCTTCTCCGTCTTGCTGAACACCACCGTCAGCTTCTGGTTGCCATTTCTACGGGATAATCATAACATTAAGAATTAAAGACTGACAGAGAACCCTGGAGGGGAGATATCACAGCGGCACTTACGGTGAACTGACTGTCAGCTCCAGCATATTGAGCTGGGTGTCATTCGACTGGCGCTCGGAGAGCTGCCGCTGGACGTCGCGATGGAGTTCGCGGATGACGTCCTCGAGATACTGGTGCGGGTACTTTAGGGAGGCGGTGATGTCGCTGATCTGCTGCAGCTTGCCGCAGTCGTCGGCCAGGCTCTCGATTTCGCTGACGATGCGCTTGATGTTCTCGTCCTTGGCTGTGGGGAAAAACAGAAGGATCAGAATGGCTTGGGGCCACTGGCGTTGGAAGGAGTGTACGCACGCTTGACAATCTCCAGACAGTCCAGCGAGATCTTGGTGAGACACTTGTACTTGTTGGTCTCCAGCGTGGTGGCCACGGTGCCCGGGCAGATGCTGTTGCTGGGCTTGCGGATGGTGCCGCTTCGTTTCTTGATGCTGGTGAGGACGAGCAGGTCGTTGAACAGGAAGAAGCCCCGGTCCTTGCGTGCCCCCGCACCGGAGGGCATCGACACGAGGTCGAACAGAAGGAACTGCCGCTCTGGCGCTGTCAGATCGGTAATGCCTTCGATCACGCCCTCCAGCTCGCGCAGTGTCGCCTCCCGCTGGCCGTTCTCCATGATCTCGCGCTCCTTGCAGTTGATGTGCACTAGAATGTCGTGGACCAGCTTTAGCACGTCCTGCAGGTGCTTCTGATCGGGATGATCGTGATCCGTGTGCTTGATCAGTCGCTGGAACAGAAGCTCGTAACTAAAGAGGGAGAGGGAGAGTATTAGAGGGGGAGATCTCTTCCGTTTGCTTTTGGGGGAAATCTTACTTGGGAAACTTTTGCACCGGTTTGATCAGCAGGTTGTCGAGGGTGAGTTTTCCCTTGTGCTCGCGGGAGGTGGACTCCAGGAACTTGGCAAACGACGGTCGCTGGTGCTTCATGGAGCGTATGGCGTTCTTGGCCCGATTGCAGTTGTTCACAAAGGATGTGTAGACCTCAAGGACCTCCAGCTTCGAGAACTACACGAGAGAGAGAGAGAGAGGGACAGAGAGCGGAATAAATAGAGGAATATGTGGGTTATCTTCGTGCTGGCTGTACCGTATCCATGAAGGCATCGCCCACTTTCTGCTGGACATCCCAGTCATCCAGGCGATGCTTTAGATCTCCCAAGAACCGTTCGTGTATCTCGAGGATGTCCGGGACCATGAAAAAGATCTCGTCCACGGTGCGGGTGTCAATCATGCCCGCGTGTTCGGGCGCCTTCAGCACCTTCAGATATTTGAGAACAACAGTCTGCAGCGACTCCACATAGGACTGCTCGTTGCGGTAGATCTCTTGGACAACATACGTGCGAGTGTCCTGCAAAGGAAATGGGTTGGGTTTTAAGGGTTTCTCTTTCACTCGGGGAATGCGATTAAGTGGATTGGGTTCGGTTCGGTTGGGTTAATGTTGATCTCGACCAGACTTACACCTTCATAGCCGCCCAGATTCCATTTACTACTCATATCGAACTGGGCCCGTCGCTCGGAGTCGTCCTCCGAGTCGGAGCAGGTAATCGAAGTCATTTTCTTGAGCCTGTCGCATTTGTCGCTGTGATAGCCCGATCCTGCGGCTGAGGCTCCAGCTCCTCCGCTCCCACCGACACCAGTCCCGAATCCCGCCTTGCTGAGGCGAGCCACCGTTGTGGTGGCCATGGAGACCGCCTGGGAGACGCTGCTGCTGTTGCTGAGGCTGATGTTGAGGCTGGTGTTGCTGTTGCTGTGGGAGTTGCCGTGGGATGCCGTGCCGCCGGTCTGGCTTTGTGGCAGCAGGGCGGCGCCGGCGGCGGCCACGGAGTTCGAGGGAGCGGTCAGGGTAGCTTGGAGATCCAACAGACTGAGACGAAGATTCTCGCGGTTGTGCGACATTCTCGGAATGCGTTCAATTCTTCTCGGAAGTGTTCTGAGTGGTTCGCCGGAGAACAACTGTTTCTGCTCTGATTTCACTGTACCGAAGCACTACCTGAAGCTAATTCAGCTGCATTCTGCGTGAGTTTTTTGCGGGGAGGGGGGAGGGGAATAAGTAACCGGTCACACGTCTGCCCTAGCTGCGCTGTTCCATCAGACTGCCGCAACGAGTGCAACAAGCCAGATGCAACATGCCACATGCAACATCCCCACGCAGGAAGCAGTCTGCCTCCTTGGCTGCGTAGCCGTCGAGTGGGAGAACGAGTACCCACTTGCCCACGTCCCAGCCTGCCAGACGGGCAGACGAATTGGTGGAAGGAGTCACGAGGCAGCGCACAAGTCACTCAGCCTTGAGCCCAGCCCAGCCCAGCCCTCCTCCTCCTCCTCCGTGCTGGGATACTGCGCCTGTCCATGGCCCATGGCCCATGGCCTGTTTGCCTGTGTGTGTGTGTGTGTCGGTGTGTGCTTTTGTGTGGTTTGATAATGACACTGACCGTGTTGTTTCTGTTGTTGCACGAGTAGGTCTGAGTGAAGGCCAATAATGACACAACAACAAGACCATCTGGGAAATGGGAAAGCGTGGGCCAGGTGCAGTTGGTGCCAGTCACAGCTTAGGAGTTTTTTAAGTGCTCTGCTCTGTTCAGCTCTGTTCTGTTCGGGCTTGGCTTAGTGAATCACAGCCACTGAATTGATTGATTGATTACACATACACATGTGCTAAGAATGCTCCCACTCAGAGGAGTATCTGCCAGGGAGGAGGCTGTGGAACAGCATACATTTGTGCGCAGTTAGGAAACCAAGTTGCGTTGCATCTAGTGCCCTACTCCCACATAGATTCCACTTTACAGTTAACACACACACAGCCACACACCCACATATGGGCGTATGGGGAAGACAGGTAATTGATTCTCTCTTTCCCTTCTTTAATCCCATCCAATCCATCCCATCCATCCTCCCACTCTGGCTCCTGCTGAGAGTGCGGTTCCATTACAGTGGGATAAGTTTTGAGAGTTTATATTTGCACTCACAGATACACACCTCCACCTACACCTACACCTACTCGCACATACACATGTGTATGGATTGCCGTAATGCGGCGCAACAAGAGGTTGGCCTTGTGCAGTCAGGTACACAGATACACACACGCACACAGACACGCGGACAGACTCTCGGATATACAGCAAAAAGAGAAGAAAATTTAATTCGTATGAAAATGAAAAGTGAATTTTCTTCTGCTTTTGCTTTTGCTTCTGCTTCTGCTTGTCCTTTTCGTTTTCTTCTGGCTGTACAACACGCCGTTCTTTTTCGACTTAGGTTTGACGGATGTCTCAAGACATTTTCCCACGCACTCACTACCTATGCGAAAGCGATTTGATTTGTTTTTTGTATTTTGTACACTCTTTAAACCGAATTCCGCTTGATTTGATTGTTTTTCGTGCGCCAGGCGTTTGTTGCTGCCACAAAATAAACTAACAAACGAAACATGAACAATTCCGCCACACAATGGTCGTAGAAAAGCAAATAAGAATTAAAACGCGCACACAGTGGACGAACGGCGGGCTTCGGCGGTCGGCGGTCGGCTGATTGTGCTTATGCTGCTACTGCGCGGGAGAGAGCAGAGCAGAGCACAATGGGTGTACGAGAACGGCCAGCGAACAGGAGTGCGCGCCGCCACTCGACTCGCTCAAAACATTCCATTGTGCTATATACACACTTAATTTCCATTTTTCATATTCCAAGCAACACTGAAAAACCAGCAGCAGTGGCAGCAGTAGCAGCGGCGGCAGCAGCGGCAGAAGCAGCAGCCGCCCTGCCACCCACTGTACACGCACACACACGCACATTTGTGTGTGGGATGTGCTTATGTGCGTATCAGCGAGAGCGAAAAAGAGTTTCGTTGTAAAATTGGGATTTGTGTAGCCAAACATTAATTATCCATGTGAACGCGGTACAGGGCGGCAGCAGGAGGCCAGCCATAAACATAGTTCCCCCCCTCAACCGCGCCACACCACACTCAGCTGTTGGTGGTAGACCGTTGGAATGCCCAGGACAAGGTACACTAAACAGAAGGTACGATGGTCTCGGGGCGCAAGACAGACTGTAGGAGAGCGATTAGACACCTGCCTCACCTTCTGTCTAACATACCTTGGGCGCGGCCAGGTACAGAGAGCGGGAGAGCGGGAGAGCGGGAGAGAGATTCCCAGAGAGAGTCATGTTATTGCATGCGACAAGTGTCCGAGCAGGAAAATCGGCTGAGAGATCGCAACTTTTACTTTTATAGCAGCCGCCATGACAGCCAGCTTTCTGGGGCCCTCACAAAGCGGACTGTTGCATTTATTTAGTATAGTTTGTATGACTAATGCAATAGTCGGAAACTAATTTAGTTCAGTCATCGGGACTGAAGATTGCTGTAAAAATAGTTTACTCCACAACCACTGTGCCTGGAACATTCTCCTAACACACTAACACACATTTCCAATGCGCAGCTTTGTTTTTTTTTTTGGTTGATATTCCTGGCGCCTGCGCACTGGAATTCACATTGCCTCTTCTGCAGCCGCTGCCGCTGCTGCCGCTGTCGCTTCCATTTTCTCATCCATCTCACACCCACGCCGCCACGCTATGCACTTCCACGTTGAAAGCAAAACAAAAGCACAGAACAGACGAGCGTGCGTGTGTGAGTGTGTATACAACAAATCAGCAAGAAAATAACAGCGGTGAGGTGATCGCAGCGACAGAAACTGCGTTGGAACTGGAAAGCAGCAACAAATGGAAACGAAATGGACGTGTGCGGACGTGATTCATTGAGACCGCGCTTAGGTAACGGTAGTCTACTTTATAGCGCAGCAGTAATTTATATGGAAGTGGATATAATGGGATCTCAGACCACTCAGGCCCCCCCCCTGATAAATGATGGACTCACCGCAATTGTTTTCTGCCGCTGCTCCGAGAGCATATTCTCGCTGGAACCCTTCAAAAGCTCCGCTAGTAGAGCGGGTGTGGGCTTCAAGTCCAGCGTTGGAGAAGTCTTCGTTTTTGGACTGGAACTGGCACTGGTACTGCCATTGGCGTTGGCATCCAGGCTCCTTTTGGCAGCATGACTGTGTCCGTGACTGTGACCGTGACTGTGACCGTGGGCGTGACCGTGGTGGTGCTGGCTGGGCCGCTCCGTGCTCATGGACTGGCTACGCTTGCTGTGGTGCGTCTTGGGGGCCGGCGCCTCGGAGGCGGCTCGCTTCATGTGGTGCACCAGCTCTGCCTCCCCCAGGTTCTTGGCGGATGCGGAGATTGGGGCAGCGCAGGCCATAGCGTTCTTGCTGGTGTGCTCCAGCTGCGAGGGAGTGGAGGCGGCCCGGGCATGCGAGGGCACGGGCAGGTACGTGCTCGTCTTTCGCACACGCATCGAGTTGGAATACTGCGGCATGTTGGGGCGGGGGGCACCACTTGAAGCCCCAACGGGGCTCGAGGCACCAGCAGCGCCTCGCAGATGCAAGCTGAAAGAGTGGAGAGCAGGTTAGTCCCATCCAGCATTACGGGGATCGCTCATTTACCTGTCTGTTTCCCGCAGCTCCTCGAGGATCTCCTCGAAGTGCATCCGGTTGGGCTTCTTCATCTCCGCCTCGAGCATCTGGCCGTAGGGTCCGCGCAGGGGGCGCTTCGAGAATCGCTTGTAGTCGTAGTCGCCGGTGGAGGGAGTGGGACTGGAGGTGACGCGGTCCCTGGCGATGCGATCGCACTCGTTGTCGGAGGTGGAGTCGGTGCGCAGGAAGCTGAGACTCTTGCTGGACACGTCGTCCTTCTCCTCGCTGCTGTGGCAGCTAAAGTTGCTCAGCAATTGCGACTTGTCGCGCGGCCCGCTGCCCCAGGACGGGGCGTTCTTCTCCAGCTCGGGCGTGTTCAGTTCAAAGGAATAGCAGCTAATGGGACTGCCGATGTTCATCTGCGAGGAGTGGGAGTGTGCGTCCGGCGACTCGGGCTTGATGGCATTCAGGTTCGTCACACTGATGTCCAGTGCCAATCCGCGATGGCGGATGACTACCTCCGGCGGTGCCTGCCAGTCGGCGTTGTCGATGTACATGCCCTTTCGCTTAGTGGAGTTGTCCAAGTGCCGCCTCTGGCGCTCGTCCGTGCTGTGCCGGGGCGTGGCCACCGTCTCCAGGGAGCTGCGGAGCTCGGGGCTGGACAGCTCCAGGTCGTCTTGGCTGTACTGCTTGCAATGGTGCGGCTGCTCCGGCGAGGGATTCCTGGCGGTCGTCGCCAGCTCTACTTGCGGGGCGTCGTCTATCCTGGCCACTCCATCGCCCTCCTCGGAGGAGCGGCTCACCGATATGGTGGGAACCAGGTCGCTCCTCACGGCGGTGGTGAGCGTCGACTCCGTCTGGGACACCTTGCAGGCGGCGTGGGAGATGGGCGGCTGGATGGTCTCCGGGACCACCTCCACCCACTCCTGGGCGGGCGTCTCCAGCCACTCCTGCGCGGCGCACTCGTACACGGGCACGGGGATCTCGCAGGTGGTGGCCGTCTGCAGGAAGTTGTCTGGCGGAGACTCCAGGGGCAGCTGCTCCTCCATCAGTGTGGCCAGATTGGGGGCGCTGCCCCCGGCGGAGGCGGGAGGAGTTACCTCCAGGGGCTGGACAATGATGGGCAGCACGATCTCCTCCCTGATGAGGCAGTCGCTCTCCGACTGAATAGTGTCCGTCAGGGACTCCATGGTGGCATGGGCGGCTATCACGCTGCTGGCGGTGGCCGGTGCCGGGAACAGGATCCCCGAACTGCTGCCAGAGACTGCCTCCGTGCAGAAAATGTCCTCTTCCTGGATGGAGTCGTGGTCCAGCGACTTCTCCTGCCCGTAGTTCAGGTTGATGCACAGCTCTGTCTTCTTCAGGGGAATGTGCACCCAACCCGGATCCGCGACTGCTGCCGGAGACGAGACCGACTCCTCTCTCTCCCTGGAATACGTGGGACTGGGGCTGGGCTCTTCGATGGCCTTGTCGCGCCTCAGGCGATCCCTCAGGGCGCTGAGCGTCGACTTGCAGTCGATTTGCGAGAACGAAACGGAGCGAAACGGAATTCCCTTTGGCGCATACGAACCGATCACGGTCCGCGACTCCGGTCTCGATGCTTGCGGCGTACTCTCGCTACTGCTTCGTGTTGAGGCATCTAGGCATCTCTCCACAGGTCGC